AGCTGTTTCCCATGAGAGTTTGAAGGAATGGAGAAAGGAATCAATTTGGTTGTATGAAAGTTTCGAATAAAAATTTACCTTCACTCAATCTGGTTAAATTGTATAAAATGATAAATATCAACACAAAATATTTACTTGGGAACATTTTTGCACGTAAAAGTTTAATATGAAATACTATTAGCACTATCACAATTGATTAATGACGCTATTGTTTATAATCTCAAAACATAAAATCTAATGAAACAATTTTGTATAAATTCAAGATTAATATGTAACTTTACTTTATGACGCCTTCAATCCCCATGCTTCATCACATCAACTCAACACCCTCTTCCTTAAATTAAAGGAGGGAAGACAAAAGTTATTCAATCTGTAACTAGTTGCTACGATTGCTTCTTTGGTTTACAATCCAATGATCAATCAAATTAAGGTTCAAAATACTTATTAGTTGAACGCTAGATCAGATAAGAGATTGTTAGGGATTACATGAAAGTCTTAGCAATGAATAATGTCTCACACGGTACCAATACTTATCAAATTCACTTTTATTAAACAGTGAAAAACAAAATGTTTAGATTCTAATGAGGTTGAGACTAATTAAAAAAAAATAATTCTAATCAGGGCTTTAAAATAATTGGAAAAGTTCAATTCTAATTGATGAGTAACATAGAGTAGAGTCAGAAATGAAAGGATGAAGGCCAAAAGAATAAGGGAAACTGCGTAACAAGAAAATTGTATTGCTATGAACATTTTATGCTGAATTCATTACTTTAGTCCATTTTTCGCATCCCCGCAGCTCATTTCAATCATGCTCGATAAAACAGATGAACCCATTGTAGCCTAGGCTTCTTTTGATCGCTTAACACGGTTTGGCTCATTATTCAATAGGCAAGCATGAGTTATATGAGAACAAAATTCAACCAAAATACCTGACCGAACTGATTTAAAGCTTCAAGTTTCAATTTCATGTTGGAGTTCCAGCTTAGAGACGGAGATGCTTCTGATAAGCAATAAAAAAGTCAAAACATTCAGTGAAGAAAGCTATCGATTTGAAAAAAGGAATTACTTCGATAAATATTCAATTGTACTTTTATTCAAAATTTTGACGCAAATACATGAATGAAATGATTTTGAGATGAGTTTTGACATTTTATTTCTTCAAACATTGCTTTCGTGAAATATTCTTTGAAGTCAGTTGTTCAAATTATCCAATTTAATTGAAACTGTGTCCTTAAGAGGACGAGTTCGACGTCGAGACAGTTTATAGTCTAATGCAAACTTAACAAATATCAAAATATTGATCAATATAGAAAATATGAAGAGAAATGCGAAAGTTGAGTTCGATTTCGTCTTTTTTGGACTATCAAGGCGCATACCATCTCCAATCGTAATATCAACAACAACCAAATCAAAACCGTAAGCGCTGAGTTGACTTCCATTCAAATTGAGATAAGATTTTTCAATTACTTTCAAAGGAACTTCTGCCGATAGCCTGGATAAACGCTGATCTGAATTGCTAAACACCATGCAATCCAATCCATTTTCATTTTCATCGGGCAATGAGTCTCCATGAGCAATTCCAAGGCATAAATAATCGCCAGTCTTACAAGTTATAACATCACTGGAAGATAAAAAGTTTTATGATATCGAGACATTTATTTCCACGAAAATTAACTAACCTTAGATTGGCTTTAGAAGCTTTAAGATGTAAACATTCATCAATTGTTGATGTATGAATCTGACCAGATTCAGTTGATTTAATGTTGAATTTATGCGAAACTCCTCTCTTTGACACTGTGTAAAAATAATCCCATTAGTTGAATGATTCAATGATTTCAAGTTAACAAAGTCTTACAAAAGTTAATAACAATTGAATCAAAAATCTCAACTTTTGCCATAATGTGGGAATGAAAAAAGTTGAATTTGATCAAGTTTATTCTCAAAATTGATATTCCCAGTTTATCCATGATCAATCTTCGTAAATACTTCTTAATTTCATCAATACTCGCGAGCACAGTATGAAGTTCTCTCGAAGTCGACTGATCTATTATGCAATGAAAAATATGTTTTTGACATTACCCAGAAATGAAAATAAAATTAAATTGTTACCTAATAATGAAATCTTTAAATTGAGGATAATCGCTTCTTTCCTCTCTCTGAAACATCGATCATTCAAATTCACTATTTCATTTAAATATCTATCGAAATGCCAAGTTACTCTTGAGAAAGATATCACTCTTGATTCAATATAATCGTATTGAAATGATTCCTAATGAAATAAGAAAAGTGTTGCAAAGTCATTCAAATCTCACACTCAGCGCATCGTACCTCATTTGTTGCAGATTTTGAATAGAGCTTTTGTTCGATGGACAAATCTGCAAACCACTGACTGCTATAAATGGATAATATCGGTTTCTAAATAAATAAAAATTAAAATGTTTGATATTGTTTTTTCAATAATTATCAGAATTTTGAAAAGGAACTTACATTAGGTGAAGGCAACGAGTAAGTTGTTACAACCAAGTCGTAACTGACATTGTCAATTACTTTATTGTATTCAGCTTTCACCATAAACTTATTGCTGTATAGAGCAACCTAATCATGCAGAAATTTTTGTGTAATTTTACTTGTTGGTCCATCAATAAAATTGTAAAGCTCACCGGATTCTTTGGAAAGTATGATTCACCCCCATAATAATCGGGATCCACCAAAATTAATTTATCTGGTGCATCGCCGAATTCGATTGCACATTCATTTGAGCCGGATAAAGTATATTTCATACCAGATTTATAGTCGTAAACCAACTCACGATCATTCAACTTTCCATCACTGATCTTTATTGTTGAAACCGAATCCACTGATGTGATGGTAAACTATTGAAAATTCAACGGTAAAAATATCATTGTCAGTTGTCAATCCCATTTTATTTGACCATTTTTCCATGAACTTACAAGATTTTTTCTGGAACCAATGGATTCAGTCAATTGGGAAGTGCGACCTCCATCTAGCTTTTCAATAGTTATCTTTTTAAAAGGCTCCACCTGTGTTATATATAATGTCACATTTCCATCTTGTCCTTCAGTAATAGTGATTTTTAGAGCATTTTTCAAGCCCATCAATTTTTTATTATGCCGATCTGTAAATCATTCATAGAATAAATTATTTCAACATTTTTTTACAATCCATAAAGTCTTCAAACAGACCTGAAAATACTGCAGTCATTTCCATATATTGAGTCGATCCATTACCAGTATCGATCCATCGACTAATTTTGTTATTTGTTTCATTGGCAAAAAATGATATAATACGATAAGGTCCCATCAATAGTGCGCTTTTCACAATTCGGATCACCATTTCATGTTCACTGTGGAATTGGTAATTCCGCAAATCTCCATCACGATAACAGTGTTTCAATGCTAAATTGCAATTAATCCTTTTAATTTCATTGTCTCACTATTTTTTTCAGTACTTACGAAAACAGACCAGCTCAATACGTTGAGTTTCGAATTGACGGAATATTTCTATTGGATTTGCTTCATGACTGATTAAAGTTACAATTCTGTTTCTTTCATCACTGAATATTGACTCTTCTATGTAAAAATCATTTGCAGATCCTTCGATTGCCTACATGAAATTAGTTAATTTTTCACTAATTAAATTGAGCTTATAAATGAACAAAACTTACCTCATAATTCAACTTTGCTTTTATCAAAAAGTTAGTTTCATTTCCAAAAGGATGTTGCAAATCAAATTTTTCATTTTCTATTCGCCTATTGAAATATTGAATAGTTGGAAATTGGCCATTTGAAGATTTGATCGAATCATATAAAGTTATAAACATCAATACAAAATATTTGTTTACAAACATTTTTCGGGTAAACTTTTAAAATAAACACAATAAGAATTGCACATCGAACTTCTAACTTTATACTTTAAATGGTTTAAGTTTAATAAAGCTTATTTCTATGGGCTTCCACCTAGTTCACCGATTCTTTAATGTACGCCTACAGTTCGCAAACTCGTCATATCTGTTTTACGCCTCTTTAAAATTAGATCGGATGAGGAAAGGGGAGGAATATTCAATCTACAATCAAGAAATAGTTCACTTTATTGGATTCAATGTTTTTGCAAAAAGATACGTATAATACTAGTTATTAATTACCATTCGTATTTCAGATAAGTCAAATTTTTCAAAAAAAGTTTTGGCTTTTTCTGGTTTTTACTATTCATGTTGTACTTTTTATTGGCTTTAAGAACACAGAAATATATTTTTGATGCCATGATGACTGTTATTCTTATTCATCTTGAGACACACCTAATATGGTTGCCGAATTTATAAATTAAAGAACAAAAATGAACGAAGTGTGTGATGAATCAATTTTCTTCAATTATATTCGGTCAATATAATTAATATAACAGTATCAAATGAGCATGAAATATAATGCAGCACCGTTAATACAGCGACTTTGACAATCGGGAAAAAGAGTTTATTTCGGCAAACTATTAGAAGATGAATCCCAATTGATTGGCGATTTAATATAAATCATAACCTTATAAATATTAAGATTGCTGGGACTAAATTGAGTCACGATTGGCCTACACTAATTTGTGTGATCACTTTAAGATGATAGCTGATTAGAGAAGTAATGAAATAATAGTACATTCATGCATTTCTATAGTAATGGTTAAACGTTTGATTAAATGACAGCGATTCGTTGACAACCATACTTTTATTAAAAGCAAAAATTGAATAAAAGCATTTCTTTTATTGATTTTGTTATTGCAATGGTATTAGGAATCAGATGCTTGATTTTAATAACTTAAGCGAAACGTAATCGCGAAGAGGATGAATTCGGTTTTGAGACAGTTTATAAACTGATCCGAACGCAAAAAATATTATAATGATCAATATGGAAATTATTAAGAAAAATGGGGAAGTTGAGTTTGATTTCGTCTTTTCTGGATTATAAAAGCGTATACCATCTCCAATCGTAACATCAACAACAGAAAATTCAACATCGGAATAGTTGAATTTGCTTCCTTGTAAATTGAGACAAGATTTTTCAATTTCTTCCAAAGGAACTTCTGCCTTTAGTTTGGTTAAACTTTGATCTGAATTGTTGTACAACATACAATCCAATCCATTTTTATCTTCATCTGGTAATGCATGTCCATCAGCAATGCCAAGACATAAATAATGGTCAGTTTCACAAGTTATAACGTAACTGAAAGATGATAAGTTTCGATGATATCAAGAAATTTATCTAAACAATTAATATTAACTGACCTTAGATTGGCTTTAAAAGCTTGAAGACGTAAACATTCATCAATGGTTGATGTTTGAGTTTGACCAGATTCAGATGATTTGATGTTGAATTTATGTGATACTCCTTTCTTTGATTCTAAGCAACGACGTTTTATTAATTGAATAAATTATTGATCAATTTCAAGAAACTTACCAAAGTAGGTGACAAATGAATCAAGAATTTCAACCTTTGCCACGATATGTGAGTCGGAAAAGTTCAATTTAATCCAGTTTATTCTCAAAAATGACACATTCAATTTATCAATGAGCAAACTTCGGAGAGCATCTTTGACATGATTGATATCGGCTTGCAATTTGTGAATTTTGTCTGACGTCAAATAATCTGCTTATTTTAATAGAAAATATTTTCTCATTATTTCTCAGCAAATGTTGAAAAATATGTATCAATAATAAATAATACTTTTACTTGTTGATGAAATCTCTAAACGGAGAATAATTTTGTTTTTTCTGTCTTTGAAACATTGATGATATGAACTGATTATGCGATGTAATTCATCTCCGTCTAAATAAGTCGAGGTTTCCAGTAAGCACATCACTCTAACTTCAGTGAGATTGAAATTAGAAGAAATCTAATAGGAAAAAGGACATTAATATATTCGCAAATCATTTCAGTTTGAATCTTATCTAACCTCATTTGGGAAGGATTTTGAATAAAGATCCATTTGAACACAGAAATTTTCGAGTCTTCCACTTTCCATTGCAAATCTTGACTTAAGTTCAAAACATGTATTTTATTAATATTAATACAAAAACGCAAAAATCTTCTTGACTCTGTATGAAATGAAACTTACGGCATTATGTGGCTCTAAATAGGTTTTTACAGCCAAATCAAACTTTACATTACCAGCCATTACATTGTGTTCAGTCTCAACCAATAATTTTTTGCTGTGTGATTTAACCTAATCATAAAAATTAATGCTTTTGGTTGTTTGATTGATAAATGAAACTTTTGTATAACTCACCGGATTTTTAGGAAAATAAAGTTCCTTTGCAAACGCCTTCGCATAATTTTCTGAAGCAGCATAATTGAATTCTTCATCAACCCCACTTGATTCAATGGTGCATTCATTTAGACCAGATGGAATGTATTTCAAACCAAATTTACGGTCATAAACAAATAGGTCGAGGTAGGATCGTTCATTAATGATTTCGACCGAGGTAACTGAATCCAATGATGTGATAGAAAGCTATTGACAATCCGAAAGTAGGCTAATTATAATTAGTTAAATAATAGAACAGCAAATATTTCATATATTGCTGATTACAAAATTGAATTCTTGATACTTTTGAACATAAGTGAAATAACAAATTTTCTAACCCTATCAATTAGTTGGTCGTTTTGAGCTACTCTTCGTCACGAAAAGCAAAGCTGCATAGATCATGCAGCCAGGTTAGCAATTGAGTAGAACTTAATTTCATATTTACTTGTGATGATATTATAATTGTTGTATAGCCGAGCTTGAAACAAGGTGGACCAAAATCACTTACCTTGGTTGTTCTATGTTCTTTATCAACTTTCAATTTGTCATATTTAGTAATTGATTCATTGAATCTGTGGAAAATACCTTTTGTTGACATTGATACGTTTGCTTTTTCCAAAGACTCAGTTTGTTTTATGCATGAACTTAGGTTTACACGATTAAATCTTGCATCAACAAATTCATTGTTATTACTATCACGCATTCCCATGCATTTAATAGTCCGACCGGAATCTGCAGATTATTTAATGAAGGAATTACAACTTTAAATTACAACTCAATTCATCTTCTTCAAACAAACCTGTAAAACTTGGGGCCAGATACAAAGTACCACAAGAATAAGATCCCGTTTCAAATTTCCAATCTCCACGATAAATATACAACTGGTTTTCACTAGTTTCACACAATATCATACGATAAGGTCCCAACAGCAGAGCGGCTTTCACAGTCTGAGCTATACTTGGAATGAGTCCCTTTAAATTTTTATCCAACAAATCAACATTTCGTCCGCACTCATTTTCTGGTCAATAGTTTTATAGTTTAAAAGTGTTCACAAACAATTATTCACTTAATGTGATGAACTTTTTGGGTACTTACGAACACAGATCAATGAAATGTTTTGAGTTTTAAAATCACGAAACAATTTTGTTTCGATTCCTTCTTCTTCTTCGGTAATTAATGTAACGATACTGTTTTTTTCATCACCAAATACCGACTCTTCTATTAACCAATACTTTTCAAATACAATACTTCCATAATTATTTGGATTATATTCCCTTTATAAAATTAATCAATTCGTAAA